AAACAATCTCTTAAATGCAGCCTTTTAAGTGACAGCCAGTCATGTCCATCATGAAGATCTTTTTTGCCTCCAGGCTGCAGGCCAACTCGTTTGAATCCGCAGGATTCGGAAGGGGGGTGGCCTGAGGCCGCCGCTCTTAAAGAATTGCCACTCGGTTTCAACATCAGTTGTCATCACTGGGATCTATTCAAACCGTCGTGCGATGTTGTTTGTAAATTTCGCACCCGTATTCGACGAAAATAATGTTTCCCATTTGATTCCCTGGTTGCTTCTGCCTCTAGATCTTCCTATGATATTCAGTTTCTCACAACATCGCGTTCCAGCAGTGATGCGACGACCGACTGACAGCTCTGCGTCTCTCTTAGCATGAACGTCAACGAATTACAGAACGTCGTAATTGACGATGGTGAAAACATTTGGCATTTAATTAATGCCTATAGCTCAGAAATATCGAATAAGTTAGCTCTAAAGCTGTAAACTTTGCTCGATATACTGATATGCGTATTCACTCATTAATTAATGGCTACATTTGTTTACAGCCATGTCAATCAACCACCATGATACGGCTGTTGGTAAAATCGTGCCACTCTTTAAGTACGTACACGTCAAGCCCCGAATGGCCAGCGTAACTGTTCTTAAGGCTCTGCCGTGTTCGACCATTTAGCTTTCAGCGACCTTGCTGTCTTTTTGCTCGCTATCTTGTCTATGCTTCTGACCTGGAATACACATATGGTTCTTTGAGGAACACGGAGAGCGGACTCTGTCACCTGATGGCTCCCGTATGCAGCAGTACTGCGAAAGTCGGCCTTTTCCCTACTGTTCGTAAATAGCAAATTGTGTATTTCATCAGGTGCAGCTGCACTACAGGTTGGAAAAGGAGGTAATGTGCTTCAGGTTGTTGACCAGTTTGAGTATTTCACCTTCATTTTCTCCAGGGATGGCACCATCCAGCCAGAGTTAAATAACAGAATTATCTTAACCTTGCGTGCCTTTGAAAATCTGTTCAATATTTGGATTGAGGAGGGAGTAACTCTTTCGACATCTTTCCACAACAAAATCATCCGTACCTCGACTCAGTTCAGTGTTGCTGTATGTCATGGAAACAGTTCTTCTAAAAAAGACCGAGAAAGACGGCTGAACTGCGCACAGAAACATTGTGATCAGTACGTAATGAGGATCAGATGGCAAGTCGATGTAAGGACTGACTTTATGCTTTTTCGGGCACATGCGAACCTAATCAGCGTGGTGATTTAAACAGAGGTTGGCCGTTAGAACAAACTGGTTCAACATAAACCAGTTTACTCCAGTCCACTAGCTTCTCGTGCGAGAGTTGAATCACGTCAGCCGTCGACCAGTAGGTTGGCATGTAATATGGAGAAATAAGGTAAAGGTAGATCTGCTTCCGATGAGGAATATTTAGGAGTATTTCTTTTTATTCTGCTGTAGCTGGAGCATTAAAGCCAAAGTGTTGAGAAGCTGAGAATATAAAGGACATCACAAACCATAGACATGTACTTGTGCTACTTGCGGAAGATGATTATTTTAGCAAACACACTTGCTAACTGCAGTTTTCGACAAGCTATGTGTCTTATTTAATTGTTCCTCGTTGAGTTCTTTGTTATCTACATGACTCACATGACAGAGACGTTTTGGTCAAGCAATCGGCTGTAGGTAATGATTACAACAAATGCACACAGAACAAACAACTAACACAATTTCCTTATCGCTGTAAATGCAGCATCATCTATTACCTGCGGCTTAACGCGCCATATTTTTCTGTTAAGAAGATTGAGAACCCGATTGTATGCACAACAGGTATTGTATGATGTCATTTTTGAAGAAAAACATATTAAACCCCACAATATTGTATCCATAATATTTCTTCACTTGAATTTTCTTGAGTGTGTCTTAGATTGAGATTCGAAATTAGTGAGCAGCCAATTAATCAACAATTATCATGACTTCCTGCAGCTGCGATCAATGGCACAACTCATAGATGCTTGGAACAAATGGCAGATAGTGTTATATTGCTGACGAATTTATCAAGTTCCATGTAAGATCAAAGTCTTGTAAATCTATGCCTTTCCGGTCCAGCCTTTGATGTCGGCTTATGATGCCGCTTACGCTTAAAAAGACAGAATTTTAAAGGCCTGTGTGAATGGAGCTTTGTGATATCTTTATTCATATGTTTATACAAATTGTGATGAAAACAGCCAGATGAACGGCAAACTGAAATATTTTAAATGCTTACGCAACAGTTGGTTGTTCTATGAAAGATGATGGTTCATTATCGCGTTCAGGTGCACTAGTTCTTTGTAAGTTGATCATTGTTCCATCTTGCTGTTTCCTCCTTGATCAGTTGCGCAAATATTGCGGCAGTTTTAAAGCACACGATACAGAGTTCGATTGAATGCAGCTCATTAGCATCACAATGTACTCCAGCAGTCATAATGGACTATAGTACAATGAACTCATGAATGCGTTGCTCATGTCTTAGCACATGAAAACGGCGAGGTCTTTATAAGCACCATGTGTCTATTGTCGCCGACAAATAAAGCATGATTCGCTACTATATCGACGCTTTACTGCTATGTCTTGCGACGGTGTCGGTGGTACCATTCCCGCAGCTTCAGCCACCTAATGTGAGCGAAATGACTTTCAGCTTATTACTTGTGTTAATGTGCTTTGCATTTCAGAGCACAATGTGCCAGAAAATGATTATGTGCTACTATGACCATGTTCACAACCGAGCGCCGCCATGTACTTCCCTGGAAGGTATCGACAAGCTGAACAAGTTAGCATCGTGCCATATGGCAGGCTCCCTGAAGCAGTTGCAAGACATGCAACAAGCGCGGCTGAAGAAAATCATTGAATGCGTTCAGCGTAGAATGATTCGTCATAAGGAGATCGAGGTTGAGGTAAGATTTACCCCGTGATATTGAACTTTGATTCGCTTCGACGTTCATTCGAAAGAAGAATCAGCTTCACGTTCGAAACCAGCTCTGTAATCAAAGGTGAAAATGCATAAGCGACCAATATTCGTTCATCAATTTTACTCAAAAATCGAAAAGACTAGCGATGACTGACGAACAACTGGTTGCCTCATGCTCTGCACATCATTTAGATTACTATTTTACAATGCGGAAATTATTGTTGAATTTTCAAGCCTAAACGAAGGCCCCGTTTCACTCTTTTACCTCAGTCGTATCTTCGGCCTCCAAGCAAGCGATCCCTGTCAAACTTGATCGTTTGAATCTATCTACGCAATGCTAAGAAAGCTACAGATTGTTTCTTCAGTGAAAAGACTCCTCGAACCTTGCTGAGCTGTATTCAGCATCACACAATGCATGGTAGCATCCTTGAAACAGGAAATTACCTTTCTTCAACTTGGTTATCCCAAAGCTTTAGTCATCGGAAGATCTTGAACAAAATCCACAAAATTAAATCCATGGGCTTTCGATGCCACCGATAAGAAT